CCCATTTCTCTGCTGACGGTAGACTATAAGATAATAGCTAAAGTTATAGCGAACCGACTGAAACCGGTTCTAAACTCTATACTATTGGATACTCAATCGGGGGCAGGGAAGGATAAGAGTATCCTGAACAACCTGCTCTCTATTGACAGTATCCTAAAATATGTCAATCAGAAAGAACTGAAGGTAGCCCTCCTGGCCTATGACCAGGAAAAAGCTTTTGATAGGCTAAACAGGGGCTACCTGATGACGCTACTAGAACATCTACAGTTCCCAGCTCCCATCTTAAACTGGGTTAAAATACTGTATTCTGATCTGACAGTGTATTGCGAGGTCCGTGGAGCATACACCGAAGGTTTTACACCAGAGAGGGGAGTCAAACAAGGCTGCCCTCTCTCCATGGCGCTATACGCCCTCGCAATACACCCACTAGCCCACAATATCGCCATGAACCGGGATATTGTGGGCATAGACATCCCTAATTACCCCCACCAAGTAAAAACCATCCAACATGCAGACGATCTAACAGTAATTCTTACAAATGAAAATTCCTTCAACCCTTTGGCACAACAACTTCAAAATTTTCAACAAGCATCGGGCAGCAAAATTAATGATACTAAAACTGAAATCTTAACACTTGGTGGCATGTATGCCCACGTACCCGCAGAACTACTTCTATATATCAAACCTCAAATCAAACTACTTGGGATCTTTTTTGGCCCTGAAAATCACGATATAAACTGGAATCCAATATTAAACTGCATACGTAAAAAATTAATAAAATGGAAAGACAGATCACTAACCTTCAGAGAAAAAAATCATATAATAAACACCTTTATCCTGTCCCAAGTCTGGTACGTGGGAAGAATAGTAAAACCCAGCAAACACATGTTGAAAGAGCTCGAGGCCCTCCTATACAGGTTCTTATGGGACGGGAGACAAGAGAAAGTCGCCCGTGAAACCATGAGGTTGCCCTTGGAGCAAGGAGGCCAACATATATGTCAAATTTCATACAAGCTCCAGGCTATGGACCTACAACAAGTTGTGTGGGCCATGGGAGGAAGCAGGCACCCTTGGATATCCCTCCTATTTTATTGGCTAGGGACCACCCTGAGGGCCCTAAACACCAACAGAAACTACCCCGTCACAACATTTACAGTTCCAACACACTATCGTGAATTTCATTCTAACTTTCGGAAACTGGATCTAAATTGGGAGAAAATTAAAAGCGTAAAGGACATCTACGCAAAACTATTGGCTACTAAACAAATTGAAGTCCGGGTCTTCCGGCAATTTCCCCATATCAACTTTGGCAACATATTTTCGGACTTAACCTCTGCAAAATTAACAAACCGTCAAAAAGATTTCATGTTCTTGATTCTACATGATGCCCTCCCAACTA